TCAGTTTAGCATTCAAATGCTTAGCACGGAAGCAGCTAACAGAAATTTTGTAAGGCTAGCTATCTTTCCCAGCCTCAAGACTACTCCCAGAACACTATATATGCCCCATATATGCACTATATTCAGGTGCATAATGGGCTGCCACAGACTTGGTCTCCATCAGTGTACCATGTTATTTTATTTTTCCTATTTCTTTTCTTTGTTGTTGTTGTTGTTTACTTCTTAAGAAAATTAATTTCCCCGAGATACAGTGCCTAACGATCTGACTATCCACGATATGCTTCAAATACTGGAATACATTAGGCTATAAGAAGGCCCTGTGGTGATTTGCTAATTAGCTTAACCCTTTTGGGACATGGAAGAAGGAATTTTTTATTAAAACAGGATAAGCCTGGACTATATTGATCTGACTGAGAAATGAGTATTTTAGTCAAGATGAGTCTCAAGATGAGTACATGATGGAAACTGTGATGTTGTTTCCATAGCAATGCCATGACAGCCTCTAGAGTGAAATAGTGTGCTACCAGGAAATGAAGGGAGTTCAAGTGCTATGAGCTACATAGTTGTGTGAGCAATCCAAATACATTCTCATAAAGAATATTTAGTACAGCTAGGTAATCCAAAGATTGCTGCTGATGTGAAGTAAGCCTTATCAGAATGCTTCCAGCAGTCCTGTTTTCTCATTCACTACACCCAAGATGACTTATCGAAAGGCTTAAGCTATGGGCAACACTGCTAAGCAATTTCAGACTGAACATTAACAAATACAGCAACCTTTACCTCACTTCTTTTCTAGTGAAGAATATCATCCATAATTAAGGACACTGACTCTTGTTCTCCATAACACAACCAAACGCATTAAACCTTTTAGTGAAGAAAAGCCTCATATGTGCAATAATTTACCAGATGACCTTCCCCCTTCCTCTTCTCTCACCTCCTCCTCTCCCTTGCCTCCTCCTGCCCAAACGATACTGAACAAATCTGCTTGCAAGTGGGAAGCAATGTACAGAAGTCTTGCATATTCCTCATGAAAATTTACACAGCTATAGCATAAAACTCACTAGTCTGCTTTTTACCCAAGTTACTGTTTATGCTAATACAAAAGCAAATCAGAAAACTGCTAATTGTATTTTATTTGCCTAAGGCTTTATCTAAGGCAAATATTCTGGTCAAATTCTGCAAAGCTGGTATGTTCCAAAGGAGATGGAAGGAGAATTACCTTAAGATGAGCACTGTTTCACCTTTTAATTTTCAAAGAAATGAACAATTCTCAGTGATTTGTAAAACTGCTAAAATAATGGTTATAACTCAACTGTTCACAAATAAAATTCTACAAGACAAAGTACTTTACTTGAAAAACACCCTAACACACCAGTACTAATTCATTCTTTCTCCAGCATTTCCCATGCAATTTGTAAAGATGTTCAAACATGAGCTGAATGTCCAGAAACTCTACCACTGTATTTGTTGTTTGTGTCATTGTCACAACCAGCCTCTTGGGTAAACAGATTGTACTTCATTATATGTAGCAGTACTGCCTCTGAGGGAAAGTAGAAAGACAAATACACATCACTGACAGAACCCTTATTAACAAATGCCATTTCAAACCAAAATGCTTTCTATTTATTGTTTTAAACATATATTTCAATGAATCAAGCCTTGCATGTAAAACAGCAAGATGCTTCACTTCCGTTTTTCATTTTGTAAAAAGATGTGAAGCAAGCATTTTTAAAACTGCCTGAGCCTCCTCCTGTGTGTCATCCTAAGTGTGTTGCAGAAGGCACCAAGCCCAACAACATTCATTTATAATTTAAACTGTTTGCTTGGCAGAATTTTTTCATTTTAATATGTCTAGTCCTAATAGAAACTGGCACACCCAATGTTTTTATCAGAAGCTCATCTACTTCCAGGAGAGTTTTATATAACTGGGTTTTCTATAGGACAGAAATACAGGGGTTTTTATGGGACAAATGTTGAAGTCTAGTGGAAAACATGTCCCTGCAATTTTACAAGGGCTTACAGGGCTCTATAAGAACAAAAAGATACCTGTGGGAAGACTGATGCACATTTAATTTACTTATCTCCTTCTTTCAGTTATTGTGGTCTCACAGTTAATTCCCCAATGTGAGCAATATTGTGTAACTATCTCGCTGTCTCTTGGAACACCTATCTCAACTTTTCTGTTTATCAAAGAATTAAGTAAAAATAATTTGCCTGATGATCTACTTTGGACAACTGAGTACAGATAGAGCTTACAATGTCTGAAACAGAAGTGGATATTTAAACTCAGCCTATTTAAACTCAGTCTACTCTCTTGCATGCATACTGGTATCCAGCTGCAAAAGTCAATCTGCGGCCACCATGGCCAGCTTAGCAAGAATGGTTTGCCCCTAGCACTGATCACCCCTTTACCTAGTTTTCTCTCCTATCACTTTCTAAACTGTCTTACCACAGTCTTCCCAGATGTTCATTCATGTGTATCTAAAAGAAGCTGTAATATCTGTATCCCAATGCAAAATATAAATCCAGTTATTCCAAAGTCATCCACATAAGTATCCAAAAAACCACTGCCTCAGATGCAGGAAAAGTTTTGTCTCCTAAAACTCAGAAAAACACTCTTAATCTCCCCTTGATCATCACTCTTAGAACATACTCAGAAATAGAGCATGCTACTATAAATTGTATCATGTTTTAAGAGTTAAATAGATGATTCACTCAGAAACTCTAAAACACTTTTTATCAGTAAATATTAAATGACAGGAGTCCATTAATGCTTGAAACAGAGTCCTTGCACCTGTCACCAAATACTGCTGTTGAACATACAGGAGTAGAAGCAGTAACATCCTGAACAGTTATTCCCTCTCAAATAATTCTGCTATCCATGCTGTTCCATCAAGATATATGGTAGTAGTTAAGATCATAAGACTAAGTCTGTTCTTCATCTGTTTCCTAGTATATTGCTAGAATTTGAAACATCAGTGGAAGCCAAGTGCTTCTGAAGCCTGCATACATTGCCTGTTTTCATACAAAGGGCAAATGAAATGCTGTTAATTGGGTTATGAAATTTATAGTTTTTGTAAGCAATTACTTTAAATTTTCTGCTTCAATTTCCTCACCCACAAAATAGTAGACAAATTCATCTATCTACCAGCCTCTTAATCTCTTGTAAAGTTAATCTGATCAATAGATATAAAGGATGTGAAGATAAATTATCTTCATAAATGTTAAGAATTATTTTACCCTAATGCTTTTGTTCTGATTGTCAAAACAATGGTTTTGTTCTGATTGTATCAATACTGCCATAATAAGCCTTTTCTTTTTAAGGATTTACACACATTTGGTGTTTAAAAATTAATTTGGGGCTGATATTTCTGTCAGTAAGCTCCTAGCATGACATAGCATGACAAATGACTTAAAAACTCATGTTGTCCTCACAAACTGCAATAACTACTTACTTGTTTTTTTGAAACTTGTCAGAAACATTTCTCTTGGCAATACATAGTTTATAAAAGAACTTTTAACACAATAAAATGGATTGCCAAAAAAAAAAGACATATCTTGCGTAAGTATTCTGGAACGTGATCTGGTTATCATACCCAGACATACAGCGATTGCTGTGATTGGTCTGACACTGCTCTGCTTTAGAAGAAAGCAGAGGATACACGGTAGAGGAGAATACATGGTAGCCACATATAAAAGTCTCCTGGACAGAGACAAGACTGGATGGTGAAGCTACTGTGAGGATGACACTGTCAGGAGTAATGCTGCTACTCCATACAGGCATGCTAGCAAACAATTTTCCTGCTCCATTTTCTCTTACCAAAAAATGGAAAAAAAATTTCCTGGATATCAGAGGCAGACATAGATGGACTTTGAAGAAAGACATATAAATTGGTCCTACATAAACAGCCATATTAAAGAGGGCACCATTTAGCTTGCTTAACCTAGACAGGTGAAAGAAAAAGAACGTGTTCGGAATGAGTTTGGGAACAAATTGGAGCTATTCCCTACAATCCTCAGGATAAAGGCACCTGTCACTTGATCCCACAAAGGCAGTTTTTAAGGACATTAAAAGCTGTTTGATTTAATGAAAATGGTTTGTATGACATCAACTAACTCCACAGATGATGTGGACTATGAAGGAAGAAATATAAACAATCACCAGAGACAGGGAGAACACCCCATGACATTGGTGCTTCCTTTTAGGAATTTGCCCTCAGTAGGACAATTTTGCTTTTATGTCTAATAGTCCCTCACACAAATCCACAGAGAACTCCTTCTAACTCCTTTTGAAATGCTTGAAAAGAAATCACCAAAGGAACACAACATTCTGAGCTGGCTCCATAACCTATTTCTCTTCCTACTAGTCCCTTTATGTTCTGAAAAACACAGTTAATCACTTTTCTTGGCTACATTTTCTTCTGCTCCTCCTCCAAGCCACCCTTGTTCAGTGCAAGAGGCAGGCTCACAGATGACTGGAATGATCCCACAATGCAGCTTTCAGGACAATGCCAGCACTTGATACAGTGACAACTGCACTAATCACAGATGCAGTAATTCACACAAAGCAGCTGGGCCTTACCCCCAAAATGTGCACATCTCAGGCATTAGGGTTCTGGGAAGCAGGATGATGGAGAACAGGGTGCACAGTCGGGGTAAGGACTGACCATTCAGCAGAACAAGGTGGAGTAGCTCAGCATGAAATGTCTTCAGGAAATAACAATATAGAGTATTCTAGTCAGGTGGATAGTTACCCTTTAGCTGGCATAAGTTTCCTATCTACTTGTCATTAACCAATTCAAAGACAGTTATTTTTCACATAAAATTACCTGGTTTTTGCAATCTCTTAGCTGTCTCTTATGGTATCTGAACATTTCCTGTTACAAGAATTCTTATGAGTAAAGGTGTATTTTAAAATCTGCAGAAAAATATTTTAAAATAGCTCTCTTAAGCCCCACTAATACTATCAACACTGAGCAAGGAACCACAATAAAGGATACTGAAGCTCCTATCTGTGATTGCTAAATGCCAGAGGTTAATCCTGAGATCATCCGCTGACATGTATGTCTCGCAGTCACTGTTGACGGATATTGAGTTGACATGATAGGTGTGACCATTAGCAAAGATTCTCCGGGGAGTGACTTCTACCATCAAATCCATAGGTTTCAATACAGGCACCTGCAAAAAGACCAAACAAAACACAAGCCAGAAAGGAAGTAAGAGTTTAAATAATTCTTTGCTAGGATGATGAGCTTCAATGGAGAGCAAGCATTCAAAGAATGTGACATTATAAAACTTCTTGATGCTGTTTGCAAGCTGAATTTCCCCATGGATGAATTGCTGGGCAGGGAGAAAGGGAGACACGGGAGAGTCACAGAGAGCCAGGCAGAGCGATGGAAAGCCTGGGACTTTCAGTTAGGAAAGGAAGCACTGGCAGCTGCTACAGAACAGGGCAGTGCCACAGCAGGAGCTACTGTCCCAGATATGCAGGAGGCTCTGGCAAGCAGTGAAGTCCTAGTATTTTGCTTTTGCTAAAGAGTTTGCTGGTAATTGTAAAACTCTTACAGTATTTATTTTGCTACTTGATGTCTCTCTTTCAAAAAAGTCAATTGGTGAAAAAGTAATAACCTCAGCAAAACATAATAAACCAAGTCTTAGAAAACAAAGCCGATTTGTGTTGATATTTATATACCATACATACACACATACTCCTGAAAATCAAAGACCACAGACTATCACTTATCACTGAACCCTTGTTATTTCCCTGTGTGTCACTTCAATGTCATGCTTCAATAACCAGACACTGTCAATTTATTCCCTATTGGTAAAGCATTAAATACTATAAGGCTATGGTCCAAGATCAGGACTATTCGCTGTTGAACATGTATCAGAAACAATCTATTACATCAATACACAAGATAGTTTAAAGAGGAACACAGGGAAGTTAAGTTTTCGAGTTTAGCTTGCCACTAAAGGAACAAAACAATGGTTCGCTCAGCCTTTGAATTCTTGGAGTAGAAGAAATCTGGAATAGTTTTGTTTGCATAATAATAGAAAATAGATAAATATTCCATTAATGTAGTCATCTTTATACTTTGGAGGCTTTTTTCACAAGAGACAGTATTGGCCCATTTTGGAGGTGGGGGTTGTTTGTTTTTTTATTTTTAATAATAAATACATACTAGCATTTATACAACATAGTCTTCCATTTCTAACCTTTAGCCTTTTCCTTTGCCAAAATACCTGGAGTGAATACAGCCATTAAAGTCTGAGATCAAAAATCTATTATGTTATCATGTGGGTGTCAGTCTCTTCTCCCAAGTAACAAGCAATAGGAAAGAGGAAATAGCCTCAAGTTGTGCCAGGAAAGGTTTAGACTGGATATTAGGAAAAAATTCTTCACTGTAAAGGTTGTCAAGCACTGGAACAGGCTGCCCACTTAAGTGGCTGAGTCACCATCCCTGGAGGTATTTAAAAGACGTGTTGATGTGGCACTTAGGGACATGGTTTAGTGGTGGACATGGCTGCTCTAGGTTAAGGGTTGAACTCAATGATCTTAAAGGTCTTTCCCAACCTAAACAACTCTATGATTCTATGTTCATACACACTTGTATGAGCTCCATGACTGCATCTGTTCAGCAATGCAGAACCTCATGTTCACTGGAACACAAATTACTACAAACCCCACTCTTCAGATAGGAGATAATTCCTTTACACTACTGAAATAAAGATGAGACAAGAAGTTGGCATACTGTCTTTCAACTCGCTGCTTTGAATGGGGTAAGAGCACTGTTTAATATTAATTACAAGTAGAATGCTTCCAACACACCAGGCTAAAGAACCCTGTGTGAAAGCACATTAAGTCACACAAAGAGAATGTTATCAGGAAAAAAAAAAAACCAAACTAACATAAATTCTCTAAACAGATTTGAGTTGGTTACTACATCATAAAGCATTTGAGACTTGAAAATGTGTGACAGATTCAAGACTGTTATCAGTCAGCTAAAACTTCAATCATATATATGCTTAGCATTAGGTACATATTTATATCTTTTACTGAGTTAGCACCCATGACTACCTTCTTCGTACAGAAACAACTGCATTTTGGACACAGAGAGCAGCTTACCTGCAGTGATGTTACTGTAGAAAGATCTTTAAGTTTTCCTTCTTCATCTTTTAAGTTGTACCCCTCTGGTCTCTTATCTCTTTCAGTAATTTTCCATAACTTGATTGTTTTATCTTTAAAAGAAAAGACAAACAACTGTCAGGATAGGAATTGTGAATGTGGTTACTCACCTTTCATAATATATTCCTTAAAAAAGTTTCTACACTTTGGTTCAGACAAGTCCCATGCTGAAACAGTCTGGGTCACTTAATTTTGCACATCCAGAAAATGTTCCCAACAGAAAAAATACTCATAAAGCACACCCCATACCTTCAAACCGAATCAGAGCTTCCTGGCAGCTGACAGACCATGCAGAATGTGTAGTGCACATGCTGCTCTCTTATCCATCTTGGCAGTTTGCAGGTGGAACAGACCAAAACCACTCAGTGTTCACTGCTGAAGCTCAGTTTGACAATTCAACTTTCAAGGAAATAATCTTCATACTAAAGCCAGTTTGCTAGGTTACTTATAAACAGCACAAGAGCAGCATGGAGTAGACTGACAGACCAATGACACCTGCCTGGCTCATTATGGGAATGGGCAGTGGTGTACTGGCATAACACCAGGAGCTCCAGCAAATGAAAAGCTGTGTGAAAATAAGACATTTCTCCCTCCTAAGGGAAAACAACTGAGAAAAAAACCTGAGAGAATTGTGTTGTAAAAGTAACAGTGAGAAGGGGGGTGGGAAATCTTACATGCAATGGAATCAAATCTAAACTCTTTTTCATGATAGGTGAAGCATATGATGATAAAATAAGGACGTCTTGCATTTAGAAAAGAGCCTCTGAGGCCAACAAATAGATGTTTCAAACATTTCAAATGGAGTTTGTCCTTCTTTTGGTAGTAGTTGAAGCTGCAGATTTCCCTAACATGGATTGTCCATTCCCACTCTGGTCGTGCACCCAACCTGCCAACCCTAACACTCCCTAGGCTGTAAAATCAATGCCAACTCTTCTGCAAAAAATCTGTCCCAAAGCTTCTAGTGGTTGTTTCACTCATCTCTTAATGGAGCAGCCAAAGCCTTTCCAGAGCTTCTGCACTTCAGCTGCCACCACCGCTTTCATTAACCTTATTTCCTTCATCATTTTTGATTTCATCCCACTTTCTTCCTTTACCCCTTTGTCCCCAAGTACATAGCAGAGCACAATTCTTTTCCCAATGTGAGTAATTCAAACACTTCTTTAAAATGCTATCATAAATAATTTTAAAGGCAGGATTTATGAATACAGGAACCACTTTGCATTTCTATAGCAACTTTAATTTTCAACTTTTTTGTTTTAAAATCTATCCCTCCAATACTCTGAGTGTTTTTACTATTATGCATCTCCTAATAATACTGATATGCTAATTTTCAAGCAACAACAATATTACACTTGACCAATCTACAGAATAATAGTTCAGTTCAATCTGCAAATAAAAAGCTCTATTTAAATATGCAATACATTGCATTTGTATTGGTCACATTAATTAATTATTAAAAACACATAAAGGCCACGTCATGCACTTGGGATTTTTATTGCATGTAAATAGCACATTCCTGCTTACCTATTCTAGCCATTTTACCGCAATTGTATAATAATTATTGGAAAATTGTTTGTGCTTTTTCTTATGTTGGACTTGACTGCTGTTGATAAATCAATCTGTTTCCTGAGTGAAAACTATTTTATTAGCAGTTAAGGGTATCACATGTGTTGGTTTTCTTCTCTCATCTGCCTCTAGACTTTAAAAACTCCCTAGAAATTCTAAGCATGCTTATATTCACAAAATATAGAAACATCTCTGTGAGGTTCAGTATTCATTCAGTCTCAAGAGTGTTGTGAAGTTTAAATTAATTAATGTCTGGTAAGCAGTCTGCAATCCTCAGATGAAAGGATCTGTATGGGCAAAATTCTGGTCTACCCGATGTAACTCACATCAAAAGTAGCCTAAATATATTCTGGTACAAAAGATACCAATGAATCCTAATAATTTATTATTATACTACAAAAACAGTTCAGTTTACAGTGCAAACCAGAAATTTGCTAACTGCAAGCACTTCAAGTCCACAGTGGGATTCAAAAGCCTTGATGGTTTCCTTCTGCCTCCATTAATTAAGATGCTGCAATCAAAGCTTAGCTGATAATGTCTGAACTGGAAAGGAACCAAGATCCCCTCTGAGAGAGGTGACCTGTGCAGAAACGGCCTCAGACAAAGTCCTACTTGGGAGGATGGAAACAGATTTGGGCAGGTGCAGACTTGTCAAGTCATATATTGAGGGTGAGATTTAGATGGACTCTCCCCTCATGTTCCCTAACAGAAGGATGATCCTTCCAGCAACTTCAGTGGGCACTGTCCACCTGTGCCTGTGAAAACAAAGGATCCTGTTTCACAGTTCTCATTTTTCTGACCAAAACCGTGATTTAGATCCTAAACTACCAGAAAATATCAACAACTGCATTAAAATATCAGGCTCAGAAATTAGTAAACATAAACCAGTACTCAAGATGTTTCTACCACCTACCCAGTATGAGCATGTGCAACAGGTTATGCCTTCATTTTCTACAAGTTAGGGAAAATACTGTTATTCCTTTTTATAGGCATGGAATTGATATACATTGTCAATGACTTTTCACAGGTAATCTGTGAGGCAGTGAGGAATTCAACATGGGCCTTCTGTATCCTAAAGTTAAAACTATCTTTAAGAGTATGCCATGAGGTGAATGTTCAAACTTCAACCCTGCTGTGCCAGGTAGCTAGGAATCCTCCTTGGCACAGAAAAATGTTTTGTAATTCAAAGCCAAAATCCAACGGCTATGCTAGTGGCACCATTTCCATTCTTCTTACCATACAGACGTCTGCCAGGATGCTCCAGAATTAAGATGAGGCAAAAAACAGGGGCCAAAGTATTTTGCCACGTCCTAGGCTTGCTCAGTGTGGCCTGAACTGGATTAACCCATAGCAACACTAAGACTGATTATTTCTTCCTTTCTCCCCTCCCATATTAATATCAACCAGAAAACTGATAGAAAGGTCTATTAGACCAACTGTAAAAGCAGTGTATCTGAGCACTCGGCTGTATTCCTCAGTGTTTCCAAAAACAAACTTTAAAATGAAAATGGAGAGGTTTACTTTTAATAATCTGCTTTTGTATCATGTACTTGGAAGCAGCCATTCCTAGTGAGTTATCTGAAGAGATATTTTGACCATGGCAGAAGTGCAGGAGTAAACTAATCATTAAATTAACACAAATCACCTGGCTATAACAGATATGTTTCATTTCAAATATTGCAACAGTGGCCCCAAAAAGTCAAACAGCAACTTTAAGGAAAACAGACTACAAAACATAAAATAATTTGCTATGTACTGAGAATTAATGTAAATATTATTTATTGCTATAATTAACTAGAAGTAATCACTTTGCCCTAAAGCGTCAATTCCCAAAAGTGAAATTACACTATTTTTCTACCAGCAATTCCCAGTTATGTTTAAACTTCTACAAGAAAAATTCTTTTCTGATTACAGTGAGATCTGAGATTTAAAATCAGGTATTTTTGTCCCATGCATCACCCGTAATAATAAATGTTGTGTGTGTCCAAATGTTTTCTAAATGACAGCTGTGCATGTTAGGCTCCATTCAATTTCTTCTCCCTATGTCACAACTGCAGAACTCCTTTTAACAATAATATTGTGTTTTTCTAATCTACAGGCTTTAAACATCTTAGAAAGATGAGTCACTATCAATATCCTATGATTATTTCTACTGCCTTCCAAAGATTTGGATTTGTGAGCTCTTTAGAACTTAAATAAACCATTCTGATGATAATGAATGAAAAGAAAAAGAAATTCATCTCTCTCACCTACATTCATTTACACATCTACAACAAATAAAAGTTATGACAAATATAGCAGACAAAATTCTAAATCCCCAATGAAACACAGCTGCTGAGTAAGGTGATGCCTTTGTCACAAAATTTATTTCAGGAAAGCACTACATGTTAATAGCAAAAATGGATAGGTCTCTAAATGTCTATGGACAGTCAATAGAAAAAACCCTATGACTATTAATAAAATTCATAAATAAATATCAGAGTCAGTATGACAGTAAAGTCTGAAAGAGAAAATTAATAAAACAGTAGATTAAAATGAACAAATATATACAGTCAGCACTAAAATACACAAGACCAAAATGCTGATATGTCATATATACTCTCATCTATCTTACCATTTGTTGATAAAAGCGAGTGAGCTGCATTTTGCTGTGGTAACCACTTGATCTTGTTTATTTTTTCTTCTATCTCCAAGCTCTTCAAATAATCAAATTCAGGTTCATGGCTCTGGAAAGTGCTGTAAACATTGTACTCCCCCTGATTGTAAGGCTCATTTTTACTCTATGGAGAATAAGAACAAGAAAAAACATGCGGTTTATGATGACAATATATCTCCATATTTTAGGGAAAATGTATAAGCAGCTTTATAAATATAAAAATGTTGAAATTGTAATGTAATTTCTCATCTAAAACATCATATAGACAGTTTTGTTTCTACAGGAATGAAATTTCCTGTAAGTATTGGAGCAATATTTAGTAAAAGGCAGGATTTTTGAAGAAATGTCAACTATTCAGGAAAGCTTTCCACAAAAGATACTGCAGATCGACTGAATTCAAAAGCAAAACATAAAGGTATGACAGCAAAGGCATTGTTTTAAATGAAATGTTTCCATCAAACAGGCAAAAGCTATTAAACCAATGCAGAAGTAGAACAAAAATAAGCTTCTTTTTTCTTATCTTAGAATTTTGGAGCTTTGAAGCATTTTTGTTTGGGACAGAAAACTTCTGAGTATAAGATCCTTACCCTCTTTCACTTTCTCTCCAAAGAGGTTTTACTGAATCTTGAGTTTATAAACAAGTTTGCTAGTTAGATCCAATTAAAGTATTAACCATAAAGCCATGTTTTTACATGTTATTAAGGACTACATTGGTAATTCACATACCTCAGGTTCCCTTTGGAATATAACAACCCGACCCCCCTTGTCACCAGTAGCCAGCAGTTCTCCAGTGTGGTTGAACTCAACTGTAGAAATAATATCAGCTGGAGGTAAAAAGAGAAAAAAGGTCAATTTTAGATTGCTACTACAACACAAACCCATGAGAAATATCAAGCACTCCCCCCCAAAAAAAAAGCAACAAATAAGGGATTTGAAGGAATACAGATGAATTCAACAGCAAGTCACTAATGCAAACAGGCTGCATGCCATTACAATCCGAGGTTGCTACACAATGAAACAAGTGCAAACGTAACAAGGCAAGTATGTGTTTCCAGCACATCTGCAGTTTTGGAGTGGAGGAGATCTCTGAAGAGGTTACACCTTAAGAAGAGCAATCTCAGGCTGTTACAACACTTTTTCCAGTACCAGAGGACATCAACGCCACTGGCCTCCTGCTATTTCCTCTAGCAAGGACCAACCTAACATCTCAGTCCTGTTGCATGAATTACTTACTCTTCACCCTTTATGAGGGTTTTAATATAACTCCCTAGCACTAGTTTTCTCAAGTATGTGTTTAAGCCAAGAGTGCAAAAACCAAGTACTTGTATCCTGTTCTACCACAGGGAAATGAAGGCAAACCCAGAAATGTTCACTGTGCAATGCTGGCAGGAGCACATTTAAATCATCATTTTCCGTAAATCATTTCAGCACCATAAAAATGTGTCATCAGAAGATAAAAAGATCCCAGTCTCTTCTTTTTCTATTTCTCAACAACTCCCTTTTCTTAAGCAACTGCACCAGCTTAAACAAGAAACCTCATCAAAACCTGAGGCCAGTCTTGAGTACAAATTACTATACATCAGGATGAGAAGAGAAAAAGAGACTGTAGGAGCAAAAGAATTGTTTCTTCTGTTTGTATGACAGTAAATGCTAGAATCATAATCCACAGTTAATCCTCCACTATTAGCATAATTTAAATTAAAATGCCTAGTGCAATAGTAAATTAAGAAGCCATCATATATACAATCACAGGCAAATACAGGGTATTACTCAGAGATTGCATGTATGAATTCTCTGTAATGATCAGTATTCACTCATCAGAAACATGGGCCAGATTTTTAGAAGCGTTAGGAGTTAGCAGCTCCCCTTTAGGCATAAAAAGCTGAGGTTTTCAAACACGCTCATCATCCATCAGTTTATACTGAGAACAATGAGGCAACAGTGGGCTAAGCTCTTTTGAAAACCTAGCCCCAAATGAGTTCACTAAAATTCAAAGGAATTGAAATAACAAGTGGATGTACCATTTACTTGATACATTTTATGAATTGAAAACATCTGTTCCTATTATTCTTTTAATAAACTAGCAGTGGAGTGTTAGGAAGCTTCTATTGCCAGTAGCTCTCATCAGCAACACAGCCATCCAAAAGCCAGATTCTTACTGGTACGTTATAAACAATTCACCATCTAAAAAAGGAAACTTTACCCTAATCATGTTGAAGAAAAATATATTATTTTTTTTTTAAAGAAATCTTCACCATCAAATTATTCTGTGTTCAAAACAACAAACAAACTGTCGTCCTTCCTTCCTCCACTCACGACATATATAAAGGAGGAAGGGGGAATCATGAAGCATGTATGTTATTTTCTTTTAAAATATATGGATGTGTAGACTTGAGAAAAATGGAACACGACAACGTAAAATATTTTGTGTCTGAACCTGAAGCTTCTTAAAGTTAATGGCATTTGATTTTTATGTGAACTTACACAAGACTGTATTTTATAGGTAATAACCCCAAAAGCTCTAGTCTTATTAGAGTACAGGACAAGTAGAGAGACTCTGCTTATGGTTGGTGATGCTCTAGAGCTTGGAATGACTTGAGTTTGATCTAAAAAATTGCCATTTAGAAAAAAAAAATCTAAAAATCTAAACTTTTCTGGCACGTAAAGTTCATTTGTAGTGCTTTCAGTGGAAGAACATTTCTTGGCTATTTTGTTCTTATCCTGCAAAATTCATACTGATAGTAGGTGTGGGCTCCTGCTCATAAAATGATACCTGCATGGTTTTACTCATTTAAAGTTGTATCTTACTCCACCCATACAGGCAGAACTGCAGAAGTCTCATACTGACACTCCTTTTAGAATGGAGACTCTTAAGCGTGCAATGGGAAAGAAGAGTAAATACAGAGGGAAGGAATGTATTTAAGTATTTCGATATTAAAATATGTGTGTGTTTGTGTGTGTGTGCATGCACATGTGTAATGTATATGTGATGTTCCCCAACAGATCACAAAAGAATCAGATAAAATAACTGTGCAAAAGGACTGAATGGTATTTGAACTTACATGTGCAAATACACTTGCTATTGGCTTGGAATACTTCCACAATGGCATGAAATACTCTTCTCTATGGTCACAATGGTCACAAAATATTATAGTGCGCTCTACAGAGGTTATCAGCCAATGCCCAGTTAAGTCCACAGGAGTATCTGTACAGACTTCAACAGTAATTGAACTAGGGTCATAATAAAACATCTCTGCATTTTGTTATTATATTGCATTTGTCATTAAAATATTGTGTGCGGTTAAATGATTACTGTTTAAAGAAAAGCAAACATTAAGCATCAGTAGGCAGTGTGTAATGATGTTGTTCTGAGGCAAAATTCTCCCCCCTACAAGATGTTTCTTCCAGATGCATCCCTCCTTTCTATTAGAAAAACTAATTCTGAAATGGAAACTACCTATCGTTTTAAAATTAACTTGTTCTGAAAAAGAACAGATCCAATATTCCAACCTTAGAGGCTACGCGCCTTGTTGGTAAAAAATTATCCTTGAATTGGAAAATCACTTTTATTGATCCTGTAAATAACAGCTGCAAACAACAGCCAAAAAAAAAAAAAAAATCTTATCCAGCATATCTCTTCAGCAGGTGAACATTAGTCATGCTGTTTTCATAAAAAAGATTAGCCAGGCTGGCTCTTCCTAAGACAGAGGAGGTAGGAACAGAATCAATCAACAAAGCTCTTCATACCCTTCTGCAGAACATTCCCCTACATATTTATTAATGCTGTGGCAGTATCAGCCACTTCGGTCCCATCCTGCAGATTCTTCCATTGGAGAATGGCCCCCTGAGCATACAGAGCAATTAACTACCAGATTTCACCCTCTCCAGGATATATAAAATACTCCACAATGGAAGAGCTGATGAATTTGCATGTATAGTAAGCCCTTGGCAAGGGATGGCAGAGATGAAAGACTCCTTCCAGCCTTCTTCTGCACTATACCTTCCAATCTCTGCTGGCAGTGCCAAGCTTTGCACTAACAATTAGCATCATCACAGACAGAGATAACTTACCTATTAAGAACAATTTTGTGTAATCTCAATGCCAATGGGCAAATGTTTCAAATCAGATCACAAATCCCAACTTTTATCTAATACTAATCTTCCTGCTCCACTTTTACATTCCCTATTTTGTCTGTGTAGAAATGTATATAAACTTGGATTTAAAAGTCGAGATGCTCAACATTTTCACTCAGTTAAAAAGCACAACCTGGACACCCAAAATACAGATGCTGACTGAGAAAACCTTAGAAAGATGAAAGTACTCCAGGGGGGTGTACACCTGGTCATCTGTTCTACATCCTGCCACAGCAAATTGTTCCAGCAGGTACAACACATTACATACTTCATTCCCCAGACTTATTTTATTCACAGAAAGACATAACATTAACTCTACAGCTTAAACTGATAGGAAGTCTTTCCTTATCCGGTCTGAAGTATTTCATTCCCTGACTCCTAGTTACCTCTGCCCTTTTGTACCTCATTAACTAATTCCTCTGCAGTTTCACAATTTACAATCTTTAAATGTGCTTAATGGCTATGTTGTACCCAACAGCTGCTACTTAGCTAGATATATTCAGTTTTTCTAATAGGTCTAAGTCTATCAGTGTCCATCTGTGCACATCAAGATATCTCTAGCTGATTGTATTGCTCTTCCCTCAACTTCATGAGTACTGTTACAGCATGGATGAAGGAAAATGAACCCTCCAACATCCCTCCCTCAGGCTCAGTGTGGGGTGGGATGAAACAAAGGTAGGTACATGCAGACCAGATTAATTCTGGCCTTTATTTCACACCATCACATATGTTTCAATGTTCACTTTTTATCCTCTTACAGGTTTGTTTTAAAGGGTTTTAATAGTTTATTCCTATATAACACAAACAGGTCCAAATACCTTTATAATAATCAGAAATGCCTTATCTAGATAATACATTTTTGCATCATTTTGGGTCACACTAGCATATTTGCATGCCATTTTTAACACAGTATGTACTTAGTGAAGCAAAATTTGAACATAATATGCATCTTCATAGTATTTTAGTAAGAAACCTCAAGCAACCCTAAGAAAAGCTCAACTGTATTTTTCTGTATGTTACTTTTACTAATAGTTTCTACCTTTCTGAGGCCTTTCATTTGAAGGCCCTGTGATACTTTATTTTGCTTCAGAAGATAATGAAAGCAAAGAAAGTTTCAGAAGTATTTTGCCCAGCACAAAAATGTAGCTTTTTGGACAGCAGTAGCAAGTAGTAGTAGCAAGGGCTACTGTAGCAGTAGTAGCAAGCAAGCAAGTAGCAAGGGCAAACAACAGCATGCAACAGTAGAGAGAAAAGAAGATCAGAGAATGTAAGATTCTGCTGAACTGCAGTGTAACCCTGATAGAGAAATAATGGATTTGGAATGGGCCAGAACACTGGAATTAACATCAGTTCTTTTCTCAAAAAAAGCTGTGAAATCCTACCAGCCAGAACAGGTCAGAACTTCTTTACATCACACCCACCACAATCAGCATGGCAATGCTGTCAGCCTGAGCAGACTGAGTCAGCATCTAGGTCAGGTTTTTGTTGTGCATGTTCCCAGTGGCTAGCAGGCAATCTTGTAGTCTACGTTATTTCAACCAAGTTCTGACCTGGCCTAACCTCGGTTTGTGAAATCCAATAAGATCACAGCACAATCTGGTATGGCTGCAAGCAATGTTCACTCATAGTGATACAAAAGTCCCCTAGGAGCATAATCTGGAAGAAACAACAAAGAAGTGTGCAACAAAGA